AGATAACGTTGTGTGATCCTCGTCGCAAGCTCGTCTCTCTCAAGGCTTAGTGTAGTATGGCCAGCACATGTTTATTCCTAGGACGTAAAACTTCTACCCATCAGTGCTCATCAGTCGATCTCATAATATGTGCATATTGCTTTAGCTTAAAATTAGCCAAGAAATAACCAATCATTGGTTATTCATTGGGCAGACTGTATGATGTTCCACAATGCCTTCCGTTAGGATCAAGACATGCAGAGGACCTCCAGTCTGGCAGTTGACGTTTGTTATCGGAGTGTGTACTTGTAGATAGAATCGCCTTTAAAGCGTCAAAAGCTATATCGGTTCCTTTTATCATTAACTTGACAGCTGATTCTCTCAGCTGAAACCTTCGCTGCTGAATGTTACGCCATCAGCCTCACTGCGCCCTGTTAAGTGATCCTGCAGTTTGGCTGCTGTCAACAATTCCTATTTGTGGAATAGAAATTGAATCTGTAACATAAGCGTAGCAAAAAAGAAGCAATGGGAATAAAATTTTTGAGGATGGGAATGGCTGATACCAGAACAGCCCACGGATCGTTAACGCAAAGGTTCCAGAACCAGAGACCTGGCTTGCGCAATCGATAAAGCGTCCGACTCAGAACTGTGAGGCCCACACTTCGACCTCCAATCGGATCACTCGCTTTTCTTTCTTCTGAGATGGATAAATGAGTACTACTCTAAAGAAAGAAGATATGATATTGCAAACTGTGCTTGGCAAATCGTTGCTGTCAATTCTATCTTCAAAATAACGTACATCTGGGCTGATGGTATGGATACAGAGAACACGAAAAACGAGACCAGAAATAACCCTCACATGAAGGTGTATGGAATAGCGACCTTCCAAACGTTATGAATTTTTTTTCTTCCTTTCTTCCTAGGGTTAAGCATGCGCGGTGATAATGGTTTTATTGGTCTTGACGATCTGGTATTTCTCAAGATAAGATTCTGGTATAAGATTTTCCTTTCGCTCTCCTTTTTCTACCATCCGCCCGGCATCGCTTGGTTCTTCCATCGGTTTTGCAGATTAGATTCGCCCTTTGTTTCGAGAGTTCATCGCTCTAGAGCAATGCAGATTGCGGATTACAGTCCGCCACTTAGTGTGTGTTGTGTCACTCTTCCCTCATTCACAGTGTGGCCCAGCAGGTGATCACTCTTCCTCCAAAAATAGACTAAGTCAGTGTAATCGAATGGCATAAATGCTTGGCTGTGATTATTGTGAATCGATGGAGTATAAGCAGCAGTTTATTTCTTGATTTCGTGGATGATTCGGTTTCAAAAAGGACGCTTGTTTCTGTAGTTTCTTGAAAGATGGATTAAACTACATAGAGTTGATTGACTTCTGTATAACTACGTTTTCAATGCTTAAAATGTTTTACTTTTCAGTCCACTGTCGAAATGGACAGCCTTCCTGCAGCCGACGTCGAACAGGGGAAGAAAAACTGCATTGAAGTTTGCGGCCAGGGGAAAACGACATCTGCAGATCAGGTGCCAAGGCCAGGTATAGCAAAGTGCCCTTTTGACGAGGTGGCACTACTTCATCATGGCGTGCTCAGCAGCGAGGGTCACCATATCACGGAGAAGAAAAAGGTGAAAACGAGGGAAGAGGCGGCTGCAGAACCTCTGGAGGAGTCAAACCAGCGAATGTTCGGCCGTCGCGTCCAAGTTGTATTGAAGCCGGAAATAATCAAGCTGCGTTCATCAGAAGAAGAACTTGGCGGCGATGAGTCAAAGGCAACAACGTCGTTTGATGCAGAGGAAGGTAGGTCGAAACCTGCTTCCTGTCCCTCAGATGACCAGGTGAGTACTGAATCATTCTGGAGGTGACCATCTCTACACAGCTCAAAATGGATCAATAACAATTTAATAATACCGTATTTTAAAGATGCATTTTCGCACATTGCTTCTTGCTTTAGACTCAAAACATACACGATTCGGTTCAGACAGAAGTGTCGACGAATGCGCCACGTTAGTCTGTCGATTG